GCTTGGCCCTTAGTTCTCTAAACTGGTGCTTATCTAAAGCTTTAGTGAAGATGTCAGCTATCATCTCTTTCGTATTGCAGTAGGTGACGTTGAATTCATGCCGCTCTACTTTTTCTTGCACGAAACAGTATCGTACGTGTATATGTTTTGATAGTCCGTGAAGTTCGGGGTTGTAGCAGATTTTGATGCAGCTCTAGTTATCCTCGTATATTGTGTTAGCCTGCGTTGTAGCAAAGCCAAGTTCGTTGAGAAGAAGTTTGAGGAATATCATCTCTTGCATGCAGTGACACAGAACGATATATTCTGCCTCTGTTGTAGAGAGAACTACAGTATGATGCTTACGCGAAAGCCATGAGATAGGACCGCTAGCTAGCATTGTCACGTATCCTCCAATGGAGCGTCTCGAGTCGGGGCAGTTGGCGTAGTCAGAGTCACTGTAGGCAATTAGTTGATCGGCAAGGTTTTCCGATGTAATATCGGTCGAGCCTCCCAGAAGAAGACCGTATTCTTTCGTTCCAGATAGGTACTTTAGACCACGAATGACTGCTTTCCGGTGATCCATATCTGGATTCGCTAGAAATTGGCTGACCTCTCGCATGTAGAATGCCAAATCGGGTCGAGTGCCTACCATTAAATACATGACACTACCTACAGCTTGTCGATACGGAATCGATTTCATCGCATCTTTCTCTTGCTCACTGCTGGGCTGGCTGCTTACGGAAAGTTTAGCGTTCCGTTCTGCTGGTGTTGCAATAGGGTACGGAATGTAGTCGCTGAAGCGGTCAATGACCTTCGTAGCGTACTTGTGCTGGTGGATAAACATCGTTCGGTTTTTACGGTCACGTTGGATTGACCAGCCGAGTAAGTATCTCACCTCCCCTAAATCTGAAATGGAGAAACGCTTTTTCAAGGCTGATTTCAGCTCACTGACGAGTGCTGGTGTAGTCGCAATGACCAGTAAGTCGTCGACGTACACTGCAATGTAACAGGTGATGTCAGCAACTGTGCGTCGAAATACGCATCGATCTTTAATGAGTTTCAGGAACCCGAGATTCTCTAGGAAGGCAGACAAGGTTTGGTACCATACACGAGGCGCTTGTTTAAGCCCATATAAGCTCTTAAGAAGTTTACACACTAGGTGCTCCTTGCCCGGGATTTTGAAACCTTCCGGTTGAGCCATGTAGATCTCCTCTTCCAAGTAGCCATTAAGATATGCTGTCTTAACATCCATTTGATGGACTTCAAAGTCGAGAAGAGCTGCAATAGTAAGAAGTAGTCTAAGTACCTCCATCCTGATGACAGGAGAGAATATCTCGGTGTAGTCGATGCCATATTCCTGGAAGGAATCCTTTGATCACAAGACGCGCTTTTAAGCGGTCGATCTTGCCAGTGCCGGTATACTTTACTACAAAGATCCATCGGCTACTTAAAATCTTCCTTTCTTTAGGAGGGGATACCAGCACCCAAGTGTGATTGTCCATGAGGGACTTGTATTCCGATTTAGCTGCTTTACGCCACTGGTTAGCGTGGGAAGACTTCATTGCTCCCCGATACGTAGTGGGCTCAGACACATACCGAATAGCTAGTAATGTGTACAGTAAATGCTGACGTTGCTCCTGTTCGTGTATGTCTTCCTCAGAGTTGAGGGTTACGTCATTGGCTTCCTCAGAGCTATCAATGGCTTCCGCAGAGAGGCGGGGTCGCTTAGGAGTCGAATGATGCGGAGGATCAGAGTCCGTCTCTGTTCGAAAAGAATAATGTATGGCTGTTCGATCAACAGCCTCCCTCAGTGAGGGCAGTACACGTTGGTTCACTGTGCCTGGCACTGTTGTCATTGCAGGGCCTGATGTGGGTGACGGTGTGATCACTGGTTCTGACACATGTTCAGGCTCCGGTGCTACTGCAGTAGCAGTTGCAGGTGGCAGAGGTACAGGTGCAAGTGTAGCGGTAGATTTCTGCCGATTCGTGGACTGTGTGGGCTCTGGAGTAGACGTCAGGCCTGTGAGAGAGGGAAATTCTTTAAAAACTACATCACGACTGTAGATAATTGCATGAGTATTGATGTCCATCAGACGGTAGCCTTTCTTATGGTCAGGCACACGAAGATACATACACAAACGGGCTCTAGCGTCGAGTTTGTCTCGGTATTGCTCCGTGATGTGGACATATCCGCTGCATCCGAATACTTTGATGTACTGCATGGATGGAATACGGTTGTGCAAAAGCTCATACGGGGTTCGTCCATCCGTCTTGGAGCTAGGAGTCATATTGATGAGAGTGGTCACATGACAGACACACTCGGCCCATAACTGCTTCGGTAGCTTGCCGTCAAGTAGAAGGGCTCGGACACGCTCCATAATGGTACGCATGCGGCGTTCTGCAACTCCGTTTTGCTGAGGTGTGTATGCATTGGTAAACTGGGCGTGAGTTCCATACTTGTTAAATATGATGCGGCCAAGCTTCTCGTACTCTTTAGCGTTGTCTGCTTGAAGCCGCTGAATCTCAAAGTTACCCTGGTTTGCATTGTCTTCAACACTGAACGCGTACTCTATGACAGATATATATTGTCTGAAAATATTCAGGGCTTTCTTCCTGAAGTCTTCGTAACAGCTATACAACTCGCTACGGTTCTTAATTGCATAAGTGAACATGAATCGAGAAAAGTCATCGATGAAGATCAAGAAGTAGCGACAACCAGTAAGGCTAGGCACAGGTAGTGGACCACAGATATCTGAATGGACTTTTGACATAGGTGATGTAGCACGTTTAACAACTCTATTAGAGTAAAATGGGGAGCGGTGTGACTTTGCTAACGTGCAGGCAACACAAAAGAAATCTGTCTTTGGACCTAGAGGTATAGATCCATCGAGTCCATGTATGGCCTGACTCCTGAGGCAATAAGAGCCGCTGGAGGTGCCGCTGGTTTGGCTTGAAACTGATACAGATCCGTGTTGGTAGCCATGAGCGCTTTGATCTTGAAGCGCTGGTCAGTTTGCATAGAGCACTGTTTGCGGTCAAAGTTGAAGCGAAAGTCGTGCTTCACAGCTGCTGGAATTGAAAGCAAACTGAATTGGAGCTGGGGACCATACAGGACGCCATGAAGGATAAGCTTCTGCATAGTGCCCTTGGAGTCAGTGACTTCCAGATCGACCCGTCCAATGCCTTCGATGGGGATTTGGTTCTTACCACCAACCGTAATGGATCCACCACTGGAGGTGATGTCGGTAAACCACTGAGACTCATGGGTGACGTGTCGAGTGCAGCCAGAGTCGATTGTCCAGGTGGGATCGGGTTCTATCTTGGCTTGAGCAGTGATGCTAAACGGGAGATTGACTGTGGTAGCAACAGCGATGAGACCGGTGTCACGACGTCCTTGGCGAGTTACCTTGCGGTTGTTTCCAGAATCACTGTCGTCGTCATCGTCATTGTCTGACTCAAGCGGGCGGTCCTTGTAGCGATCTTGACCGCGTTGTTTGCCGCCATTTCCGTGCTTGTTCTTGCTACTACTGTTGTTGCCCTTGAAGTCGCGGTTGTTATTATTCTTGCCGTGTCGCCCATTGCCACCTTTGTTCGAGTTCTGGTACGGGTGATCGCGTTTCGAGTTACCCTTGAAGGCGAAGTTAGCAGGTAGCACTGTCCCAGCCTTCACTCGTCCATCTCGCAAATCCTTTTGAAGGCCTCGGCATTGGCGAATGTTGTGGCGTGGGCGATCACAGTAGGAACAGACATTGGCGCTGTCACGGCCTTGGGCTTGTGACACAGGAGGTCCGGTAGCCCCTAGAGCTCTCTCACCCTTGGTTGCATAGGACTCTGGTGTGCCCTTGGCCAAGGTGTAGCGCTCTTGAGCTTGAAGATCGCGAACCTTGCCTTCAATGCTCTGCTTGAGGTCTTCATACGGGATATACTTCCGCTGGCCCTTCCAGATGCGGAGATCGTCCTTCCACGACTTGGGCATCGAGTGGAACAGGTAGATAGACTTCTGTCCCTCGGTCATCACCGATTCGGTGGCTTCTGACGCGGCTTTCATCGCGTTCTCAAGCTTGAGAAAGAACTCAGTTAAGTCGGAGCCTTCCTCATACTTGATCTCCATCAAGTAGTGTTGAATGAAGTACGGATCTCCATGAAAGGCTGCTCCCTCGTACGTCTGGCAGCTGTAGTTGAAAATCTCGTAGGATGTCGTGAGATTCTTGACGAGCCGCACGTGCATGTTGTCCATCGTTTTCATCAAGAAGGCTTTGGTCTTGGCTTCTTGTCGACGGCGTTCGCGCTGGCTAAGAAGCTGTCTCTTCTCTTTCTTGGCGCGTTTGCGTGCACGGCGAGCCTCGCGATGGCTAAATGGTCGAACTACCGGGAGGTCCTTCCTCTTGATTGACGTATCGGAGCTGGCTCCAGAGTCTTCGTCCGAGTCCGAGGGCAGCTTGAGCTCGTCGTCGCTCTCGCCGTAATTCACAGCGTCGGAGTCGATTTCGACGTTCTTGGTAGTTTTGGCATGCGGTTCATCGTTGGCATCAGACATATCGCTGCCACTGTCTTCACTCTCGTCTTCCGACATACCGTCGTAGTCGGGCTGCTTCACGTAGCCGAGTAGGTGCTTGCCATCTAGTGCTGCGCACACATGGGTCTTCCAGACGTCGAAATTCTCGGCGCCGATGAGACGTGGGAAGTCGTCGCTTGAGGCTTGGCTTGGGCTCATAACCTATAACTCGTATGACAGGTCGAGAAGAAGTAGGGAGAGGAAGAAGAAGTTACTTGTAGGCGTCAAAATACGAAGTGAGTACTTTATTAGTATTAGGAAGCCACCAATAGCTGTACACCAGCCATTAGTGTCTGTATAGTTTAAGCCAGTCATACCGACTTAGACAGGACCTCCTAAATCTCATTATAATATTTTGGAGTGACTAGGTCAAGGTAATCAAACTGTTTAGAGGCTACTTCAACAACTTTGCCATTCCAGCATTCGCACTGCGAGTCGTCGATAAGAAGATAAGCTTGCATCTACCATGACGCCGGGTTTCTCCTTGCGTTCACCTCTCTCCTTTCTCATTGGAGTGGTTTTGCTCGCAACAAGACCCATCGTTCACTCTCTCGACCAAGTCGAGGAAGTCAAGCTTGGCCCGGATGTCGGCAAGTCCACTGTGGAGCTCATCGAAGCGCGTGGATTCGTGGCGGAGACTCACAATGTCACTACAGCTGACGGTTATATTCGCACCTTGCACCGCCTTCCCAAATCGTATGATGAGAGTCAAGCAGGTGAAGAAGCTGCGAAGGACAAACCTGCCGTCTTGATACAACATGGACTGCTCGACAGTAGCTTCTCCTGGGTCTGCAACTTCCGTAACCAGAGCTTAGCCTTCGTGCTCGCCGATGCTGGGTATGATGTCTGGCTTGGAAACAACCGAGGCAATACGTACTCCACCGGTCACGTCAAGTACACCACCGAAGATGACGCGTTTTGGGACTTTAGCTGGGAATATATGGGCCGGTTCGACTTGCCAGCGATGCTCAATTACGCTCGCGAGACTTCAGGACAGAAGACAATAGCGTTTGTGGGCCATTCAGAGGGCACGACACAAGCTTTTGTCGCCTTCTCTGAAGACCAGACGCTTGCTCAATCCGTGTCGTACTTTGCAGCTCTGGTACCCGTAGCCTGGTTGGGGAACACCAAGGCCGAGGCACTGAAATTTCTGGCCAAGGTGTACCTGGACAAGATCTTTGAGGTCTTCGGTCAAGTCGAGTTCCTGTCACAGAACAAAGTACTACAGGAGGTCATCGAAGCTTCTGCCTGCACGGTGAACCCTGAACTCTGTGATACTGCCCTTGCGTTAATATCCGGCGTGTCCGAGAACTGGAATATGTCTCGAGTAAGTGTGTATCTCTCCGAGATGCCGGCAGGAACGTCCGTCAAGAACATGGGTCACTACGCACAAAGTATTCGCAAAGGCACCTTTTCAGCCTACAACTACGGCTGCGGCTGTCTGCGTATCCTTGGGATGAAACTGTGCTCTAAACACATTTGCGAGAACAAAGTCAAGTACGGCAGCTTCGACCCGCCAGCGTTTCCTCTAAGTAGGATGACGTACCCTCGAACAGGATTCTTCACCGGTGAGAACGACATATTGGCTACTGCAACTGACACAAACCAGCTCCGAGCTGCGTTACCGAACACGACAATTATCCACGACGAGGAGATCAGTGACTTCAGCCACTTGGACTTCACCTGGGCGGTGGATGCCAATGAAAGAGATTGTACCAGTCTGTGCTGGAGCAACTCGGTCATTACACCCACATCGGATTCTAAATAGAGCGTGAAACACGTACTAAACATAAGAATCAAACCATATTTTTCTATCGGTAAATAATCGCTGTTCGATGTCTAGATGGCGAGGTCGTCGTGTCCTGCGGTTCTTGCCCATTTCTGCACTTTCACGGCATCGTTCTTGCGGTTGAACTTGGTCAGAATCGAGATCAAATCTTCGTACATTTCCACCTCAAACCGTGGCGTCTCCGGTTGTATCCCTTGATGTAGTAGAGAAAATGTACGCACAAACTCTGAGATTTCAGTTTCTGACTGGCATCGCACCATCAGCTCGTGCAATTGATCCGAGGAGAGTTGAAAGCCTTCGCACTCCATGTTATACGCAATGTGCAGCGTACGTTCGATCAATCCGATCTGGGTACCCAAGCCCACCAGCGAGACGTACAGCCCTTCCGGAATGGCCAAGTCTTCCCTGGCTTAGCTCACGAAATAGTGCAAAGCACGTGTCGATACCACACGAGCCATAAAGCGCGTTAATAACGTAGTCGAAGAAGGTCTTGTCTGTAGAAACACCCGCAGTAGCCATGTCACGAAGGACGCCCACCACAGCTTTTAAATCGCCATGAGACGCGTGGATGAATGCAATCGTCGTAAACGCCTTGACGTCCAGGACGACGTCGTGCTTCTCCATTGCTTCGATCAGAGCGACAGCGTCACCTACGAGACGCCGGCGCATGCAGATGGACAATAGCGACGTAAAGACCTGAAGATTCGGCGCTAACTTCCACTCCAGAAACACATCCATAAGGTGGAAAACCTCTTCAATCGACGCATTGCGGTGGTTCTCCACCATCTCCAGCATCGTAATGTGATCGGGTACGATAAACGGGTTACTGAGCATCTGTGAGAAGAGCTCCTTAGCTTGTTCGAACTTCCCCGTCGCTGCGAAACAGCCAAGTGCGTCGTTGTAGTTCTCCACCTCCAGCATCCAAGCGCCAGCGAGCTCCTCTTCTGTCGCAGATACCTCCTCCAGTACTTCTTCCAGAAAGGTCGCATCCGAGTGCTCGTGACAATAACGAATCGCCGATCCAAAGCCACCACTGCGACCCACACCTCGAGTTGCCATCCCACGGAACGCATCTTTCAGCATGGAGAAGTCTTTGAGGGCCGTGCACGCCTTCATTACGTTGACATACATGTTTTCATCTGCCGGAATCACCTTATCCACAACTCTGACCTTCTCTCCAGCCTCACCAGCCGCGCTCCCAATGTCCTCACGACCAGTGATCCTCTCGCGCGTGCTCTCCATCGTCGAAAAGCAATGCAACGCCAGCGAAAACTCCTCGAGCGCCACACAGCACTGGATCACAGCACCAAAGCCTTGTTCCAGCTGTAAATGCTTGATCCTCTCCAGATCACCGCCACTTGAGCGCACACTTCCCTCCACAAAATCCAGAAACGTTCGTACAATTTTTCTTGGACTCATTTTCGCCTTCACACTCGCTCGAAACAGCGCGAGAAACCCTTGCTGCTGAAAGTCTCTGGCTGCATCAAACTCTGGGTGGGTGAAATACTCCGTCGCAAGGCCCAGCACTTGCGTGTACTCCTTCTTCTGCGTCATTTTGGCCATCAAATGCCCAACAATGGACGGTGGCATCAGTGGCTCCAGTGAGCTTAAGCCAAACTCTTTTTCCCGGATTTCAGGCCATAGTTTCTGATGATACAGCAGCAATTGCTGCCCTGCAACAGTCATTTTAATGTTGGCGCATCCATTGACCACTTCAACCAGCACACGAGCCACGAACTGAGGTCCGTATCGCTTCTTCAATTGGCCTAAAAGCTGGTGGATCTCTTCTCTACGGAACCCACGCGACGATCGTTGTCGTAAAACGGTAAACATCAGATCCGTCCACACCGGCTCACTGGCGTTTTCGCGAGCGAAATTAGCCACGAGCCCCAGCAGCTCCGCAGCGCCTCGTTCGTCTCGTTTTTCCAGTCGACGCTGCAGCGCCACATTCCACGCCGACGGGTCCGTGGCTGCTAATAACGTCGTCTCATCCTTGCAGCGCAGCGCTCGACAGGCGAAGACGAAGTTGTCCGACGTTGTCTTGTTGGACAGTAAGACGTTGATCCGCTTGTCCTCGAGCCGTAAATTAGGCACTCTCGTCACGGTACGAGGCGAGAAGGAGCGCGCATGCGCCTGCGAAGACGCCGCACGTCGGCATGCGCGGCGCAGCATCAGCAGTAACTTACCACAGGTGGGCAATATTGTGTTTCTTACGTAAGTATGCGCCTCAACGTTAAAATGGTGTTCAGTACGTAAACCGTATGTCGCCCCGACCATAATCACTTGCGGAGCACTTGAAGCTTACCCCCTCCTCGACGATGGCGCCTCGGTTCGCGTTCCGTGCAAGGCTCCGCTACAAACGCTGCCGAATCCTCATTCTTACGTTCTCTAACTGTGCGTTGATCGTCCATACGTATGCAGCAAGTTCCGCAATGTGGAATGCAAGCCTCTTCCGAGCTTTGACCAGCTGCAGGTGTCCCCGGACGGCACCGTGTTAGCCGCCACGTCCTCCAGCTTCGCCTTTGCTCATCAGATGGACAATGGGGGTGCGATCCAAGTGAAGCAACTGGCGAAGACTGGAAAGGAACCCCCCAATACGCCTCCATTGGTACGTGCTCACCCTACAGGACGCGTCACAGCGCTGAGCTATTCGCCGTTCCACGAGGACCTCCTGCTGTCCGCTGGAGATGCCAATGCCACTGTGAAAGTCTGGAAACTACCGAGTTCCGAGCCCATGATCGAGGATCTGGTGACGCCCTTGACGTCATTCCAAGAGACACAAGCGACTGTGGCGGGTATCGTGCCACATCCGTCCGCTGACTCGGTAGTCGCCACGTTCTCGAGACCTGGAGCACTGAGGATTTACGACTTAGAGGCCGAGACGATGAGGTTTGAAGTAGTCCTGGAGGGAGATACAGCACTGAGCTCAGCGGCATGGAACTGGGACGGTAGTGCTATGGTAATGGCTACACAAGACCAAGCTTTGAGACTCTTGGACCCGAGAACGATGCAGATCTCAGCGCCCGTAATTGAAGCTGCACATACTGGGAAACGGCACTTGAGTGTGGTCTGGTGTGGACGTACGCAGCACTTTATGACGTGTGGGAGTGACCGCATGCAGGAGCGAGAGCTGAAGCTGTGGGACCCACGTCAATTGTCCAAGTGTGTGCATCGAGAGCGTCTGGATGCCGGCGGTGTGGGCCAGTTATTTCCGCTATATGATGCTGATTTGGACTTGCTGTACGTGCTGGGCAAGGGAGATCGCAGTGCTCGGCTGTTCGAAGTGGACTTGATGCGAGCTCCTTATGTGCACGCACTGGATCATAGTGCACTCGGCAGTATGACACTTGCGGCGACGCTGCTACCGAAAGCGACGTGTGATACAAATGACTGTGAAGTCGCGCGTGTTCTGAACCTCAGCGCGAGCGGAAGCAGCGTCGGTGGGAGCTGCGAAGTCGTGAGCTACCGAGTGCCTCGCAAGGAGGCCACACACACGTTCCAGAGCGACTTGTATCCGGATACGTTGGCAGCTGAAGCAGCGATGACATCAACAGAGTGGCAAGAGGGACACAATGCGGAGCCGAAGGTGCGTACAGTGACACCTACTGCCAAGCCTGTCGAGGATGTGAGTGGGAGCGTATTTGGTCGAATGCCTGCACCGTCCGGTTGGGGAGCGCCACCCGCAAGTGCTGGAGCTACAGCCAACGGGTGGCAAACTTCTGGTTGGGGTCAGTCGCTGTCATCGACGGCGTCGTCGAATGCTGCGTCCAAAGTTGCGTCTGATGTCAAGACGGGATGGTCGTTGAGCACGAGAAAGTGGAATGAGCCAGAACCCATGGCTCAAAATGCTCCCCCTTCTCCTGCGCAATGGAACTCTGACACCTCAACGGTGTCTACTGCGCCCCCGACACCTCCGTCAAGCTCAGTAGAAAAAACTGAAGACGTTCTAACCCCGATACCAGCAACTACGTCAGATGAATGGCCGTCAGCAGGAGTAGAACCGATGGGTATTGCCGATGTGGTGGAGCTTTCGGACAAGGCGCAACGATTGGGCGCCAAATACGGGCACAAATTGAAGTACGTGCAGGGCAAGGAAGCTCTACGCAACGATGTGTTCCACTTCGGTGACAAGCGCGTGGCGTTCTCGACTCAAGCCTCGCCGGTGATCGCTGCCAACGCAACGTTCTGGGCAGCGCCCATTGCGGGCGCAGGTGGACCTGTGCTTGTTGAAAAGCTTGATGCGAACGGGAAGGCACGACATGGAGCTGCTCCCGTGATTAATGGACAGAAGGCTGAGGTGTCGACACTCGCGTTCAACCCGTTCAAAGATCACGTGCTGGCTACAGGGTCTGCTGATTCTACTATCCAGATATGGTCTCTCGATTCAGACACAATATCTGACAGAGCAGGTAAACTCACGCAGACGCTGTCAGGACACACCAAAAGTCTTCGATCTCTTGAGTTTAACCCGACAGCGGCCGATGTGCTGTGCTCTTCAAGTCTCGATCTCTCGCTGCGGTTCTGGGATATCGAAGTCGGCCAGGAAAAGTTGTGTCTGGACGGAAAGCTGGACGATATCACGTGGAATATGGCTTTCAGTCCTGATGGCGCTCTGTTGGCCACAGCAAGTCGCGCCAAGATCGTCCGTGTGTTCGATCCTCGTCAATCGGAACAGGCGTTGGTCGCTATGGGCTGCGGATACGAGAGCAACAAGCCGCAGTTTGTGACTTGGGCAGACTCGACTCGTTTGCTGACTGTGGGTGTGAGCGCACGCATCGAGACGCTAGTGAGTTTCTGGGACTCGCGCAACTTGTTGGAACCTCTGGGTGCTTCGGTGATGGTTGACCCGGCAGCTAGTGCGGCTAGCACCACGACTCCGATCCCGCTGTACGATGCCAGCTCACACCTGCTCTTCCTCATTGGCACGGGAAGTCGGCACATTTGGAGCTACGAAGTGGACCCGGGGGCTGCTACGGTGCAAGCAAACCTGCCGTTCATGTTGGCCGGCACGGACACGATCGGTGGCGTCGCTCTTCTTCCGAAGGCCATTTGCGATATCCGCGACGTTGAATTGGCGCGGCTGCTTGTGGCAACGCTGAACGTTGTACAGCGTGTGTCATTCTCGCTACCACGAGCTCAGAAACTCAAGGAATTCTTTCAAGACGACGTATATGGGTTGGTCCCCAAGCCGGAACCATCAGTGACTGCAGCACAGTGGTTCATGGGCGAGACTGGCGCTCCTGTGTACGAGTCTCTTCGACCGGATGGTACGTGGAAGGTTGAAAGCATGACCTGTGGTTTGAGATTGCTACTGTAACTTTTTGTTGCTGGTAAAACTTCCAGGTATGGTGGCGTTGTCCGAGAAACCGAAAGACACGACACCTGTGAGACCCAAGACGTTGGATTTCCAGGCGCGCAAGAGAGAAGAAGAGGAGAAAGAGCGCCAGAAGGCTGCTCAGTTTGCTCGACTCAGCGTAAGTCGCCGAATAGTTTGTCGTACTTTGTAGTTCTGTGGCATTGGAAACTAACGTGTGCGTTGTCCCTCAGAATCTTTCGGCTCAGCCAACCCTGCATTCTACGCACCATACGGGAGTCAACCCAACTGCGCCACAAGGTGCAGAGGTCGATAGCGATGACGACTGGGACGACTAAACGTCACAAGTAGCGGTCGACCTGGAGACCCACTTTCATGACCACACACCCGACAATTTTGATGATACTTTACAAGTCAAGCCGCGCAAAACATGCTCGTGTTGCATCGTATCCTTCGTCGCAGTCTTGCTCCCTACAATAGATAACTTGGCATGAGTGCAAGAGCTACCAACTCGTACACGTCCACACCGACACTCATCCTTAAAGCCTGACACGGACTATCGCACGAAACTGTCATGGAGTCTTCGACACACCCGTGTAAAGTATTCTGATTCCAGTCTGGACACCAGCTCAATCTCCTTCGCTACGGCATCGGTCGAGACCTGCAGGAGAAAAAGCACATAGATTAGAGAAAAAAACACTCGAACGACAGCAAGTACTTGCATCAAACAAACCTGTCCGCGTGAAACCTGCACAGCCGTTTGGTAGTCCGTGAAGGGGAAAACAGGAAGGAGTGAGAACCCAACACTAAATTGAGCTCCCTCGACGTCAATTCGTGCAGCCGCGGACGGGAACTTGAGGAAATCAACCCAGAGCGTGCTGTGGTCTTTGTCGTACCGCATGGAAAAGTGCGTCGACAACTCGCGCAGCTCCTTCAATAACCGGAACGAGCGACAGATGAAATTTTCCAGCACTTGCAACTTTGAGCATGTCCGGCCACCGATTCCATCTCCCAACTCGGATTCATCCGCAATTCGAGAAATATAGTGCGGATCCAGCAGTAGCCGCTGCAGTACGAGCACCACATCACCCTCACAGGGAAGATACGAGGTCTGCTTAAGAGATTCGTTGACTTTGATCGAAGTTGATGCCCCGCCCATCGAAGGGGCCCTCAGATGGACATCTACGCAAACCTCGACATCGAACAATACGTCCTCAAAGCGAGCGCTCAACCGGAGAATCGACGAGGTAGCCTCACGAATCTTCCACAGACTCAGACTCTCCTGAATCGTCAGCATCTCCTCCGCCGCTAAAACTTCCTGTCTAAGGAGCGTCACCGCTTCCGGAGTGACAGGCTCCAGTTCCGCCGCTCGTCCCTCAAGGACCTTCAAGCGACTCTGCAACACTGACTCCTCTAACGACAGGGACGAGCACTCCTTCTCCAGATCCTTCACGGCCTTCACGTACTCATCGTGGGCCCCTTGTTGCTCCTCGATTGCATCCAGAAGAAGAGCCATTTGTTCCTCTCGAGCGATCATTTCTTTGATGGCTGCCAGCTCATTCTGACGCTTCAGCACACCAGCTGCCACGCTGTCCTTCAGGGATTTCACATCCGACGCGAGGGCAGCTGCACCCACAGACAAGCTGGCGGTGAGCTGCTTTTCCATCTGCGTCTGCAGCTGACACCAAGCCGTTCGAGCGACCAGAGCCTCTGCATCAAACAGCTCCTGAATAGCTTCGCGACCAGCGTCATCAAGATTCTCTGGGCTCAAAACTGCTGGAGCCTTGGCGTGTAGCAATAACGACAACTCTTCAGTCACAGCCGAAGACCACGACGACACATCTTGGGCGTGACGTTCCATCACCGCTGAGCACGTATCGTGCGCACATGCGACCACCACATCCTTCAAAGACTCTGTTTTCTCTCCAAAGAAATTCCCAGCAGCTCCTATAAATGTGCTCTCTTCGTTCAAATCAAGGGATGACAGAAGCTCTTCCATCGTTATCTGGGGAGCAGAACGAGGCTCGGGCGTCGGTGGGCGACGGGGGCTTTGACTGGGCTCACTGACTCGGTCGAATTGCGCCTTCAAATTCACCTGAAGGGATGCGCGTTTGGCAGCATACTCGTCGTCGCTTTCATCGGATACAAGACTCATCGCACTCTGGTTGCGCAAAGAAGTCATCGTTTCATTCGCCTCTGCAATCGGGTCCAGTGTGGTGTTCTGGTCATTCGGTGGCTGCGTATGGTTGCTCTGACTGGCAACCTCGTTCGCCAGATCACCTAGAGATCCAGGAAGATCATGGAGGTCGGACTCAGGCGCTGACTTGGTCAGTTCGTGGACTGAAAACTCGGCGAGAAGATGGCCCAAACTGAACTCCGCAGTGTCCTCCTCACGGGGCAAGCCAGTGAGCGACTGGGACTGTAATCCGGCAGTATCTCCTAGAGTGATAGAATAATCGCCCGTAATCTCCATGTCCTCTCCAGCGTCCGAAGATGCCGATGAGTCTGCGTAAGGTATACGAGTCGTCTGCGTTATATCAGTCGCGCGCAAAAACGAATTATTCCCTGGTGCGGATGGAGACTGAGAGCTGGTAGCTGGGTTTTCGGCAGGAAATGACGTAGTTGAGGAGGTCTTGGAGGCTTGACGTGTTACATTGATGGTCTGACGCCTGCGTCGTTGAAAAGCAGCTCGAGAATCAAGAGGACTAAAGCCTCGCATACTGTGTCGTCGTTGGCCTTTGTCAGTCGATTTCGAAACCGCTAGGCTGCTTCTCCGTGACTGCAGCAGGTTAAAACCTGACTTCTTGGGCTGCGTAAGTTTGGGCACAGTGACCTGTTCAGGTTCCTCCTCATCAAGTGAGTCAGCTTTATCAAGAATGGAAGAGTTCAGCGATGTCTCCGCGTCGTCAGGTTCTTCTTCTGACGATACCCGCTCCAAAGGGAAGAGCCGTGAAGCATCCTTGGCCGGCATGGGCGTCATGGACGTAGAAGGCGAACCGTGGTTGAACTCGGCACCTTGGGACGGACCAAAATTGACGGACTTTGTTGGTGTTGTCTCCGCATTTCGTCGTTCCTTTCGTGCACTCAAGATTCCCTTGAGAGGAGTCCTCAGTCGAGGAGGAGGGGAGAACATCGAAAGCTTTGGGATTCGCGAAGGTGGAAGCTCATCCGGAGACGTCACATTGTTGTTCCCTGTTGCTTTCTGCTCATTCGCAGAGAAGCTTGAGTCCATTCCTGCATGCAGGGGCGAGTCAATGTCCATGGACTCCATAGTTGCATCGTTACCGTCACGGCTGGTACGCGTACGCTTTTCAGAACTTCCTCCATGCTCTTCTGAAACGTTAACACGCTTCCTTGACGCTTCCTCCCCTCGCTTATCTGCTGCGTCCTCACCACCAGCTGAAAAATAGCCGAACCCACTATTCAGAATCAAAAATCCGTTGTCGTCGCGACGATCATCCGATTGCTGCGGACTGTTTGCCAGCGTCGAGAATCCGTCACTCAGATCGACTGTCGCATGTCGCTTGGAATTGTCCTTCGGTGGAGTTGAAGACTTCCTATCCTTTGCTGGAGACGGCGCTTTCCTCGTTGTAGCCTCCTGCAGCGGGGATGTGGACTTCCTGCTCTTCGATGGAGTAGAAGCCTCCTGTACCGGAGATGAAGACTTCCTAGACTCCGTCGCTGGTAATTTGTTACTCATCGAGTCCTTGGACGGAGGCGCAGTTTTCCTACTGATAACGGGCTCCTTCCTTGGCGATAGCGACTGCTTGCTCGCTTTCTCTCGAGTGGACGTCTTGCTGCTTTTAACCTGCTTCGAAGAGGTTTTCAACTGGTCATCACCAGAATCAGCATCCATCTCCAACGCCGAGCTGCTCATGCTCATACCTCTCTCTTCTCTCCGTAGCGCTGCAACCACCGACGCAGCTGCAGTCGGATCTAACGTCGGTCTCCTCGCCGCATCTTTCTCCAACAGATTCGGTGCAAACATCGTGTCCGTAAAGCTGTCACTGGTGTTGACCACCGACGTGCTCTTGCGACGACCTTCCACAGTCTTGACTGGCGACGTTGGCTTGGTCGCTGAGCTCGGTCGTTTACCTGCCGACGAGGTCTTGGACCTGGTAGACCTAGCAGGCGAGTCCAGTACCTCTTCCAGCTGCTCCGACGTCTCTAAAGTGCCCCTAGGCTTGGCTGGACTGCTCTTCTTCTTCTGCGCTTTCTTTTCCAATCCCCCCGCACCTTTAATCACGGCCTTCAGAACCTCTGGGCTCACTGTATCTCGTCTGGATATAGCGGCGTCCAATACCTCTGCTTCCAGGGGTATCTGAAACGCCATGCCAGGCGACAGCGTGCGGCGTTTTGACGGCGTTGATGGCGGGTCGTCCTCCTCTGACTTTTGCTCATGCTCTGGTGACGCATCTGTCGGCTTGTTTTGCGCTCTATCGTCAGAAATGTCGCCCAGAATTTCGCGCTGCAGCTGACGTGTGATGGTGTCGCACCAGTGCGAGGAGGGCGGATGCAGCGCGTACTCGGTGTCGTCACTGTCAGCATCCATGACCAGGTCCAATTTTTGCCGCGCGGGAAGAAATTTGTGTGGAGCTTTTTTTCAAAGATGGACTTTACATTCGGTACACTTTCAAGAGACATTCATTGAAATGCAGTCATCTGCTCAAAAGCACTGGCTGTGCTTTGATGCGGTGTGTGACTTGCGTCAGACTCGAACGGACATCGTAGGTATCATGACGGACGTTATTGACGCCAAGGCCCAGCGCAAGGCCGAGAAGAAGAACAAGAAGGCTGCACGCAAGGCTGCAGAGGCCGCTGCTGCTGGAAATCCCGTCGCGGAGCCATTCAAGAAGGATAAGAAGCAGAAGAAGCACAAACGCGCTCGTGAAGAGGCCGAGACGCCCGCCGAGAGCTCAAAAAAGCACAAGAAGGACAAGAAGGGAAAGAAGAAAAACAAGAAGCAGAAGAGCAGTGATGATGGTGATAATGAGGACGTAGCGCCCAGCACTGACTTCTCCAGCGGCCCATACCAACAGCCGCCAGCCAAGGACGGCAGCTTCAAGAAGGCCTTCTACACTGAAGGCCAGGACACTGCTAAGATGACCAACGAGGAGGTTTCTGCTTTCCATGAGACCAACCAGATGATCCTTAGTGGCAACAACTGCCTCTACCGTCCTGTGCTGAGCTTCGACGACGTCACTTTCGAGTCCAAGTTCATGAAGACAACCAAGGGCTTTGACAAGCCCACGCCCATCCAGAGTCAGTGCTGGCCCATCCTGGCCTCGGGACGTGACATCATCGGTATTGCCGAGACGGGATCCGGCAAGACGCTGGCCTTCTCGATCCCTGGTCTCATCCATATTGCTGCCCAACCGGAGGTGTCCCACAAACACCCAGGCCCGCGCATGCTCGTTGTCGCTCCGACGCGTGAGCTGGCGATGCAGAGCTCAGCTGTGATCTCGGAGGCTGGCAAGAAGTGCGGACTCAAGAGTATCTGCATCTACGGTGGCGTCCCAAAACATACGCAGAAGAAGGCGCTGCGCGACGGCGTGCACGTGGTCGTGGCCACTCCTGGTCGTCTTAAAGATCTGGTGGAAGAACGCTCGTGTAACCTGTCTAAGGTCACGTTTGTGGTGCTCGATGAGGCCGACCGTATGCTGGATGAGGGTTTCGAGAAGGATATCCGCGCCATTATCGGCAGTACGCACCCTGAGCGTCAGATTGCCATGTTCAGCGCCACATGGCCACAGTCGATCCAGAAACTTGCACACGAGTTCTTAAACGACCCAGTGAAGGTGACTATCGGCTCAGATGAACTCGCTGCCAGTCACAACGTTACGCAGATCGTCGAGGTCGTTGAAGACCGTGCTCGTGACTCTCGTGCACACGCTCTATTGCAGAAGTATCACGCGAGTCGTAAGAACCGTATTCTACTGTTCGTCCTGTACAAGAAGGAGGCTGACCGTGTGGAGCGCATGCTGCACCAGCGTGGCTGGAACTGTATCGCCATTCACGGTGACCGTAACCAGCAACAGCGCTCGGAGGCTGTGGAGCAGTTCAAGTCTGGTGAGGTCCCGCTGCTGATTGCGACAGATGTGGCTGCTCGTGGTCTCGATATCCCTGGTGTTGAGTACGTCATGAACTACTCATTCCCGTTGACGATTGAGGACTACGTGCACCGTATTGGTCGTACAGGCCGTGGTGGTAAGAAGGGTACGGCTCACACGTTCTTCACCGCTAACGATAAGCCTCGCGCTGGAGAGCTTGTGAACCTCCTGCGCGAGAGTAATCAGGAGGTACCAAAGGACCTGACCAAGTTCGGTACGCACGTCAAGAAGAAAGAGCACAAACTGTACGGCGCTTTCGCCAAGAACATTGATGCCACGAAGAAGGCCACCAAGATTACCTTTGACAGTGACGACGAGTAAGCTGCACACTGTCGACGTTGATAGGCTAGGTACCAGGTACATGTAGACAAGAAGTGGGAGGGAGTAGAGATCTATTTCGCTGTAGATTGCTTTGATAAGCTGGTTTGCTAATGATTTTTTGCACTCGTCTACATGTACATGTACTGTACGTTAAAGTACGCGGTCTGGGAGTGCTGCAAAAGCAAAAGCTGTGTGTGCGTCTCACGGTGAAGCACACAAAGCACCTCACGGATAATCTGTTAATTCAAAGGTGCCAGCACTATCGAAAAGACATGTGCCGGCACTAATACATGTACTGCAGATGGCTTGATGAGTATAGGTGTTGTGGCACAAAATCCTTCCTCTCTACCAAGTTGCCATTGCCACTACTCGTCGTCGCTACTGCTGGAATAGTCCTGAAGCAGCAATGCCGTCGCAGGATTCTTCGCCGGAGGTTTCGCCGTTGACGTAGCGTTAGTGTCGCTCTTATTACGTTTCTCCTCCGTCTTGACCTTCGCAGATTTTGCAGACATCTGACCTTCCTCTCCATCAAGCGTAGTGGTCCCCGACATGGTTCGGCTCTTTTTGGCCTGGTTTGTCTCCTTTCCACTTGACGTCGCCTGTCGTTTTTTCTTGGCCTTAACCACCACCACTGTTTTCTTCTCAGTTGGCATCGTCGACTTCTTTCCACTGCCCGAGGCAGCCACAATTATCTCCGTCTTGTGTACCTGCACCTTGAGGGCGTTCGAGCGGAAGGCCTGCAGCGCTGCGACCGCCAACGGTCAGTCTGATACTAGTAACATTCAGCACAACGCTGTCAACGCACTCACCGGCCTGGCGCTCCATTTTCTCTCTATTCCTGGTATGTTGCTCCAGAAGCGTCTGATCCACGAGGTACATACGATCCGACGGGTCCAATAGTCCGCGTCCCCCACCCAGCGCGACGTTCTCCTCGTCCGTGGCCACCATTTCCCTTTCGGCCTTCGTGGACGTGTCTACAACCTCATAGATGACACGTTTGGGCGCCGACGCCTCGCCGCTCATCGCCAACCGCCTCGCCGCATCGGAGTTCTGGTTGGCGGGATGCCACGATGGCACGTCCATCAGTGAGGATTCTTTACTCCATTTATCCCATTCATTGCGTTGTTTCCACCCAACAGTCCCAAGTGGGTGGACCAACTGGATTCTGCAATTTTTCTGATATGGGCATCAAAATTAACCTGTCATCCTAAATTTTCTGAAAGGTTCAAATTTACCTGATTTAATATTTCTCCTATTTGAAAACCCTCTCGTTAAATGATACCCCGCCAGAAGCGCGCTTCTGGATTTGCTGATCTTTTGCTCGAAACCGAAGCTCATTTGGCATTCCGCTAAGCCTCGCCATGAAGCTTTCTTCGTTTTTGGTGTCCACAGCACTCTGCATCATCTCTGTGGCCGCTGAGTCCCCCGTGCAGCTCAATGGTTGGTACCCGTGTACGCAGGACTCACTGCAAGCAGATGAGTTAAATAAAGGCAACCCAGACCAGTACTACATGGAGACAACGAATGATTCGAGTACGCGACGTAGAGCTACCGCCGAAGTGGAGCAGACTCAGGCACCCTCACTACCGTTTCTTCAACAGTCGTTTGACCGTCTATTCGCTCAGCATAGCGATTGGAAGAAGCAGCAGCACCAGCGAACGCGACATCACCACAACACTCGTGGTAAAGCTGCAGAGGATGCAATGCCCAGCATCCCACAATACGAGTGCGCAGAGTTTCGTGTACCTCTGTGCTATGACGGAGTGTGTGAAAGCGACAACACCATCGATGTGTTCGTTAAGCGTGTGAAGGCGACGAGTGCGGCTGAGGGACAGAAAGGGAAGGCGCTGTGGGTACTGCAAGGAGGACCTGGGGCGTCCTCCACCGGAGTGGAAGGACTAATGAACACAATGTACTTGGAGCTGGAGAGACAGGTCAGTGTCTATACGTTCGATCATCGAGGAACTGGTCGCAGTGCCAGACTCGAGTGTCAAGCTGCACAAGCTGGAGCGCTGGGCAGTCCTGGAGGCTCGTCTATTCGTCTAGATGAACTGCCCGCGTGTATGGATGATATCCGATTTCAGATCGACAATCAGACGGCGGCGTTCTCGGTCACCAGCGCTGCGAAGGACTTGGCTGCGATTATAAACTATGAACTCAGTGACCAGGACGTCTTCGTGTATGGGCTCAGCTACGGCACATATCTGGTCGAGAGACTCGTGCACTTTGCACCAGCGAGTGTGAAGGGGTTCTCTATCGACGGTATTGTATCCGAGAGTGGAGACACAGTGGAGAAGCGCTCAACGTTCTCCAACTGGGACCACGATGTCGGTGTCGTTGGAGATCGATTCCTTGCTGCCTGTTTAGCAGAAGACTTCTGCAAGAGCAAGTTTCCAGGCGTTACGGATCTAGCTGCGTTCGTCCACGAGCTCTATGATACGCTGGATGCTGCTGTAGCTGATGACAAGAAAGGCACAAACGCCTGTGCTGATGCGTTGGCGAAGAACGGCATGAAACCTTCCTACTTACTACGTTCCACTTTTGGAGAATATCTCATGTCCGACCGAATGCGGATCGCTATCCCTGCTGTGATCTACCGTGCGTCTCGCTGTACAGACCAAGATGCTGATGCTCTGGGGTACTTTGCCGAAGGAGTTGCGTACTCGGAAGACGACGGTGGATTCGGAGACTCGGAGCCGGAGACGCTGCTTTTTGAGTCGGATATGCTCTACTACTTGATCGTGTTTTCAGAGATGTGGGAAACCCCCACTCCCGACAAGGCGACGTTGATTAAATGGTATGAAAACTCTACGATGGCGTCGGACAACTACTTGTCACTCCCGTACTACTGCTTGTTCACTGGAAGCCGTGAACATGCGTGCCAGGAGCTCATTCACCTCCCTATTGCTCGACCTCTGGTATACGAGCGTGATGAGTATTGGAACAAGACAGGAGAACTTCCTGACGGCGTCACAGCGCTGCTCATGACGGGTGGAATGGATCTGCAGACCCGTCGTATGTATGGGGAACTGGAGTATAAATCAATGAGCGGCGAACGCATGCTTGTGAACTTTGATGACGCGGGACATTGCACGACATTCACCACACCGATGAACAGTGGTAGTACCACCTGCGGCGTCCGGATACTGACATCCTACGTAAAGGAAAATGGTGTACTAAAGAACGTGGACACAAGCTGCATGGATGACCTAAAGCCCATGAAATTCTCGGAAAATGTCGTGGGTGCGCAAGAACTGTTTGGTACCAGCGATCTGTACGAGAGCTCGGGCTCAGATTGGTAGAGCAAGAGTTGCAGCGTGAGTGTAATTGCATGTAGGTACCCAATAGAATTGATCTACTTCGCAAGATGTGTCGATAACGTGTTAATCTTGCAGAGTGGGTACAGTAATTAAAGTAACTTACCCTTTACAAATTGACGCGTTATACATGTAGAAATAGTGTTTCACTTGACTGTAAAAGGTGCAGATCGCTTACAGCTGTAAGACACCATTTTCCAAAACCTACTGCTACTGTGGGTTTTTAATGCAACATTTACACCGGGGTAAGCTGTCTGCGCACTATGAAAGACGTAAGAAATCTCGAAAGTTCAAGTTGTGCTCAAACAATTTTTCCATACATCTCTTTAAATCTTTCATTCCTCGATCGTAATTAGCACTTGCAGCTCGTCAGGGGATCCTTGGCTACTCAGACGCAGCTCGCGCATCGCCTCACACGTGATGGCCCCGAGAATGACTAGACCCACTACCACTAGAAGGATTACTTCACTCAGAGACCACGGAACACCGACACCATTCCCGCCAGCCTCGGGGTGGTGCAGTTCCTCTCGAGTTGCAGTTGCTTCTTGTTGTTCATCCGTATTCGTTTGCACAATATCTTGATCCCAGTCCTTCAGGCACTTGGTGGTCGCTAGATGAGAGAGCCATTTTGCTGCTGGGCGAGGAATGGGAGCCAGCTCTAGCGATGAATTCTGGGTATAATTTACATAATGCAACCCGAAACGAGATTTGTATGACCCCCACTCGAAGTTGTCGAGGAACGACCACGCCATGTAGCCAATGACTGGGATTCTTTCTTCCGCGACAGCTTTGTAGACTTGTTCGACGTAAGCTTGGAAATACCAGAGCTGCGTCCTATTGTCCACTTGATCATCCCCACACCACCCGTTTCCCGTCAGTAGTATCTCTGCTGTCGAGTCCTTGGCATGTAGCCACTTGATGGTGGCTAAATAGCCATCTGGGTATCCAGAAAGCCACGAGCACTCCGGGCTTACAGGTACCCGTGACCCGTTCGGAGCTCGTGTATCGTCAATTCCCCTGTCACGAGCATGACCGAGTGGGAGATCATCGCAGGAGATTTCTGAGCGTTCCGAGTTGCAGTCGGTCACAACACGCGAGTAGTAGTGGTTAAGCATCAACACATCGTACGATCCCTTGACTAGCGCAGCTTCCTCGGTGGTAAATCTTGGTAGTCGCTCTCCAATGTGCTCACGCATTGTCTCCGGATAATCTCCAGTCACAAGAGGCATCAGAAACCAGCCGAGATCAAACTGCATCTTACGCTCCGCGGCGGCCACGTCCAGAGCATTGAATTCGTCCACGGGGTAACCATACTCCGCATTAAGCACGATACCAATGCGTGCACCGATATGTACCACCTTGTGTTCGTCTTGTTTCAACTGACGAAATAGTGCCACCGCTCGCGCGTGCGAATGCAGCACGTTATGAGCGACTGTGTATGTGTTGGTGTCCGACGGCTTCATCCCACCTGGAGCTGCATCGCACGAGCCGTAGCCGCCACTGATGAAGGTCAACGGCTCGTTGAACGTTGCCCAGTACTCGACCTTGTGTCCGTACTCGCTAAAAGCCAGCTCCGCGAAGTCCTCGAAGTGCGCCACAATATCCGGATTGAGCCATCCATTGGGCTTCAGCTGTGTCTGTAGCGTCGACGGAAGGTCGAAATGGTAAAGAGTGACAATAGCCTGTAACCCTTTCGCATGTAGATCGTCAAGTAGAGTATGATAGAACGCGATCCCTTGCGGGTTGGGCACCATCTTCCTGCTCTCGGTCTCCCAGTGCATAGCTCTTGACCAGGAGATGGAGAATCGAAAGGATGACAGCCCCATGTCACTCATCCGCTGGACGTCCTCATGGTAGCGGTGAAAAAAGTCGTCGGTCGTGTCGGCGCACTCGAGACCTGGCTGAGAGCGGCAATAGTCGTCCCAGATGCTCGGTTCACGACCGGAGGCATTCCAGGCACCCTCCACTTGGAACGCGGAGGTTGCGGTGCCGAACAGGAAGTCGTCAGGGAAACAGCGCGTCTCGGCGACAGCTGCTGCCAAAGTGTTATAGCTCAAAAGCCCCAGACATAACTTGATGAGGCTGGAGACACGGAGAAACTGCATGGAAGCAGTGACGCCGAAGCGTAAAGTTGGAGAATGACCGCCCGAGTTGTTTCAACACCACCTTCACATCCTGATTACCGGACGGTTGGTTTTTTTCATGTGGACCACAAAAACGTCAATGTTATTGAAGATATTGAAGTTCGAGGATGTATTGTGGACACTGTTGTCGATTATTGGAGGACGTTTAACAAGCAGCCACGTCCTAGATCATAGTGTTGGCTTGCAAAAGCGGGTCGGTCTCGCGAGGAAAACGACGCGCATTGGGTGAGGAGAGCTGCACCATGATGTTGCGGCCGACGGCGGCCATCGCAACGAGGGCCACGACGGCGAGAACGCCAATGACGCCGAGCATCCAGCGCGAGAAGCTCTGCTCGGTGACGCTCTGCAGTTTTTCTTGCGTGGTCGGATGATCGTACGTCCATCCATTGAGGCACCTGGTCTTGGCGACGTGGCTGAACCACTTGGCAGCAGGACGCGGGATACGCTCGAGTCCCGTCGACTTCGGTTCGTACACTTCGTCCTGGTCGCCCGTGTTGGACGAGAAGTTGACGTAGTACAGTCCAAATCGAGGCGAGAATGACCCCCACTCGTAGTTGTCGAGGAATGACCAAGCTGTGTAGCCGATGATCGGGATCTTGTCCTCGACCAATCCCTTGTAGACCTGGGCGACGTACTCCTGCATGTACCACAACTGGTTTAAGTTCTCGACCTCCTCGTTGCCACACCAACCGTTCTCCGTGAGTAAAATGTCGGCCGTCGGGTCTACAGCGTGTAGCCACTTGATCGCCTTCAGGTATCCGGGTGGGTAAGCCGTGAACCAACCGCAGTTGAGCTTGCCGTGCCGGTTTTTGCTCGAGCGACGAGAACCTGGTAGTTCGTTCGAGTGGGAGATGTCAACGCCCAGGTCACGTTCCCAGCCTTTGCCCAGCTTCTTGCATGATGACTTGGACTTGGATGACACTCCGCAGTCGGTCACGAGCTTCGACGAGTAGTGGTTGAGCATGTGGAGGTCGTACGATCCCTTCAATAGCGCCGTCTCCTCAGTTGTGAATCTCGGCAAGCGATCGCCCACTCGTTCCCGCATGATTGCCGGATAGTCTCCAGTAACCAGAGGTGAGAGGAACCAGCCCAGTTCGAACTGCATCTTCCTTTCCGCTGCAGCGACGTCCAATGGGTTTTTCTCGTCGAGCGGATAGGCAGCATCTGAGTTCAATGTGATGCCGATACGAGCCTTTTGGTGGAGAGCGGATGGTGTACTCGCCTTCAAGTCTCGGAAGGCTTTGACAGCAGCTGCATGTGAACGAAGCACGTTGTGAGCCACAATGTATGCAAAAGTGTCGGACTTTTTCAGCCCTGGAGCTCCTGCACCGCTAGCGTAGCCAGCAGTAGTGAACGTCAGTGGCTCGTTGAATGTCGTCCACATGTTCACTTTGTCTCCCAGTTCGTAGAACATAAGCGTCGCGAATTCTACGTAGTGGTCGACGATGTCTGCGTTCAGCCAGCCTTGAGGAGAGAGCTCCGTGTGTAGCTCGAGCGGCAGATCCCAATGGTACAGCGTCAAGATCGGTACGATGCTGTTGGCGATGAGCTCGTCGACAAGAGCGTGGTAGAACGCAAGGCCCTGAGGGTTTGGCTGCATACGTTTGGTCTCTGGATTCCAGTTCATGGCCCTTGACCACGAGACGGAGAAGCGCGAGGACTGCAGCCCAGTGTCGACCATGAGCTTGACGTCGTCTCGGTAGCGATGGTAAAAGTCGTCAGCGACGTTGGCACACGCCACTTTCGTCTTGTGGTGCGTGCGGCAGAAATCGTCCCAGATACTTGGAGTGCGGCCGCCTTCGTTCCACGCGCCTTCAACTTGGTACGAGGCGGTGGCCGACCCAAACATGAAATCTGCTGGGAAGCAACGAGGCGCGTCATCAGCAAAGACTGTCGCGCCTGCCAACGCGGCGCTGAGCACGTGGAGAAGTCGCATCCTGTCAGTCCGAAGGAGAAGATCGCCCACTGAGAATCGGTAGCGCCTGTTCGTTTCCAAGATTTCGGAACCTGTTGAAGTTGGATTAAAAACATACGTTATTTGACATTTTGAAAAGTTCCACCGCTCTCTTACTCTCCCCTCTAAAAATTGTTGATACTGTACCGATTTACACGCGCTGAGATGTGATAAGAACGACGAGTACGGCAGCATGAAGAGAGATTTGGGTCCTGCACGCGCGTGCGAATGTTGGGAGACTTGTCAGCTTGTCGTCTTATCTTGCATAGCCAGCCAAAAAATTCTGATTGTTTTAAAAACGTCGCAATATATGAGTGCTAAATGAAATGGACCAGTGCTGGCAGTGAGAATAAAAACGTTTTATAAAAAACGTGCATTTACAGTTTAGACGATGTTCGTTCAAGGGTACATTGTACCTAATTTGTGTGTGCTGTCAGAACTAAAGCGTACCTCAGCATCTCAAGTAGTGGTCCCTCTGATACATGTATTACCTTCCACGTTAAAGTCGAGTTCCGACGATTGCGGAGATAAATGTTGCCAAACCATAAATTGTGCTTCCTATTGAATTTCTTGTTGAGTCGAATGGCTTAATAGCCTAGCAACTTGTCATCTTTGACCGTTCTAGCCACATTTTCATTTCATTTTTACGCAAGATGACGCATCAAACAGTGCAATGTAAGCTGCGCCATGGGCATGAGCTAGATGACATATTGCTCTGGTTGGCAGTCTGATACGTCCAGTGCGATCCGGTAGAAGACGTGGTGCCAGTCGTGTTCGTTGATTCACCAGATCCAGTCGTCACCGTCGTCGTCGTAGCTCCGGATCCAGTCGTTGTTGTCTAGATCAAGCCACCAGACCCAGTCGTGGTGGTCTACCGGATCCAGTGGTGGTCGTCTCAATGGTACCGCCCGATTTAGTTGTGGGAATCATCTCGCCGTTCGAGCCGGTCCCCATCACCGTGGACCCATCTTTCAAAGTGTTTCCGGTCTCCAACGTCCGTTTCAGTCGAGCTCGATCAAAGATCCGGCGAGTCATACGAGCCCTCCAACAGAGTGTCAGACGCGTTGGGCGTCGTCGTGGTGGTGGTGGTCGTGCTGCTCGTGGTCGTGACAGCCGACAAGAACCTGGAGCTCTGTACCGTGCTGCTCGTCACGTTGGACGTCAAGTATCCAGTGTCCACAACCCTGGTGGACGTCTCATCTTCGCTCGATCCACTCGTCGCCGACGAGTGGATCGAGCGAAGAGTCGTCGGGGTGATGGGGGTGATCCCGGAGACTGCTGCGTCGACTCTGGCCTCGACTGGGCCTTCTGGATGTACGAGCTGCGGGTGTACGTCACATTATGGGTAGTCACGCGCTTGTACAATGTGCGGATGGTACGGACGACCGTCGATCTCGTAAACGTCAGGCTTGAAGCCGAGTAGAATGTGGAGCGCACAGCTATCTACAGCAGACCCGAGCGCACAAGATTTAGACGCTGAGCACTCGACACGGTTCATGATGAGGATCTTGTCCGCTACGAACATGGACATGAAGCTGGTGAGCCCGTAGACACTGTCGAGCGTGTAGCACTCCAGCAGCTTCATCTGCTTCGCCACCAGAACCACGTTGCCTTCCAAACGGATGTACAGGCTGTTGCACTTCATGAAAACCGCAGGAGAATTTGCCGACGGGGGACCAGTTACTTGAGTGGTAGATAGAAAATCTGAAAGTGAATTGAAAGTCGTTAGCTTCTTTCTAGCGCTGCTACTTCTCGCAGTCTACTTCAAAAGCCCAGCTGTATAATTATACAGGTCATACTACATCTTTTGTTTTCAGTGCTGGCACGATTGCGAGTCCAGCCACAGGAGAACGTCGACTTGATTGGCTCATTCGTTCCCAGCCACACCGAAGTCCTTGTCGCTTACCGTCGTAGCTTGTTGGTGCTTGATTCCGATGTCCAGTGCTTCAAGCCACACGATCACCATCTCCAGCTCGTGGAGAGTGGCTAGCTTTTGCCAAAGCCAACAGCCTCTCTCAAATGCAGTCCCAAATTCACGATGTGCTGATGTAGACGTAGACGCTCGAATACAACTCGCTGCAGCGGCTTGGTGAAGATGTCAGCAAGCTGCTCTTGGGTCAGACAGTAATTTATGTAAATATCTCCTTGACGAATGACGTCCCTGATGAAGTGATATCTGATGTCGATATGTTTGCTACGGGGACTTGACATCTCATTTGCCATCGCCTTGATGGCCGATTGGTTGTCAACCTTCAGCAGGACGGAATTTGCTGGCGCCCACAGTCGAACTTCGGCCAGACGTTGCCTGACCCATACAACGTCCTTTGCTGCCATTGCAGCGGCTACGTCCTCGGTTTCCATGGTCGATAAAGCCACCGATGTCTGCTTCCTCGATGACCAGGCAATAATCATGCCGTTAATCACCACAGCGGCACCAGAAACGGATTTCGCGTTTGAAGAATCACCGGCCCAGTCCGCATCGCTGTAGATAGTCACTTGGAGCTTGGTGCCAATGCCTTGACCGTACTTGTAGAGACGTCCAAATGATGTAGTCCCTTTCAAATAATGAAGCACTCGCTTCACACCTTGCCAGTGACTCTGGCGCGGACGAGCGACGAAACGACCCAAGTAGATTACATCAGTCGTAATATTCGGAAGAGTGCAGTTTGAGATCCAAAGCAGCGACCCAATTGCCTTCCTCATAATGGTAGATTTGTCCATTATCGAGTCGTCGTCAAAAGCCTTGGAGTGATCATCAGGGGTCCGAACGGATTTGCATTCTGCCATGCTCATGCCGTGAAGCAGTGATTCGATCGTGTCGTGCTGGTGCAGCAGGATCCCGTCGTTCCCATGCTCAATAGTGATCCCCAGGCACTTGTTCACGACGCCCATGTCCTTAATGTCGAACTTCTTCCCCAGTTCCCGCATTGCCCAGTCGCTGTCTGTTTCCTCCTCGCTGATGATAATCACATCGTCGACGTACAATCCGAGTAGGGAAAGTCTGCCATTTTGGCGACGGAAGTAGAGACACGGATCCATCTTTCTCCTACTAAATCCGAGTGACAGCAGGAACGCGTTGACCTCTTTGTTCCAGAGAAGACCGCTCTGTTTCGGACCGTAGAGCGACTTGAGTAGAAGCCATGTCGTGTACTTGTCTTCAGTGGTACGGGGGGGGGAGGGGGCATCAGTAGCGGGCGATCCAGAGCCGCCTTGACGTAGGCGTTAGGCATGTCGCCCTGGCGCAGTTTCTTCCGCCAAGCTGCAGCCAATGCCACCAGTAGTCGTATACTGGTGATTTTAAGCACTGGTGAATTTATCTCATCGAAGTCGATTCCGCAGCGCTGCGTGAAGCCTCGTGCCATAACACGAGCTTTGAAACGCTCTAGCTCACCCCTGCTGCTGAACTTGATGCGGATACCCACTTCGACGAAATTATCTTCGCTCCGGCTGGGGTTTGCACTACTTCCTATGTGCAATTTGCTTGGAGACCAGACAGCTCCTTCTCGATCCTTTCATTCTGGCCACTCGGGTGTCTTCTTGGCTTCAGTGATGTTTCGCAGCGTCCCCATGGCTGTAGTAAGTAGAAGCGTGGCAGGTCGTGCTACGGCAGCGATCTGCATCCGAGGCAGGGAGAAATCTGCGGTTTTTATCTTCTCCCGAGAGTCAAAAACACGGCGAATCGCTGCAGCACTGATGGGATGACCAGCATACTCGCCGTCACCACTCTCACTGGAACTGCTGCTGAATTCTTCTTGCTTTTGTTTCTGCTTTTGCCAACACCATTCCAGTTCTGGTTGTACGATCCGGTGGTGCTGCCTACTTGAGTTCGGGCGCGCTATCAGCAGGTAGAGCAGGTGCTTCGATCCTAGACGGCTCGTTGGCGGGAGTTTCACTGGAAGAACCTTCCGTAGAGCTGTTCTGTGAGTATTTTTCCCCGTGCAGCTGATCCAAAACGTCTTGGGTCTCTGTCGTCGACAACTCCAACTTGTCCACGTTCTGAATGTCTGCACTCACGATTATCTTCTTCGTGCGAGTAAAGAAAACTCGCTAGCCCTTTTGTTGATCGCTGATCCCGATGATAATCCCCTTTTCAGCTCGTTTCTTCAGGGAGGCACCCGTCTTGGGCACCACGTGGACTGTGCAGCGGGAGCCGATTCTCAAAATCTGCCCGACATTCGGCGGCCCATCCATGAGAACATCCATCTGGGCTTTGTGGTCTGCATTTGCTTTGGTTGGAACGTGGTTTCTGATGTAAGATGCGTATCTTGCTGCATCTCCCCAGTAGCGTTCTGGCAATTTTGAAGCCCACAGCATAGCGCGCCCAGCGTTCATGATCGTGCGATGCATCCTCTTCACTTTTCCGTTCGAGGCGGAGTTGTCTGCTAGCGACGACTGCTGGCGAATACCATGACGCTTCAATTGGTATTTTCGGCAACCAATGAGCGCAGCGATGACGAGCAACATCTTCATGGATTCCATGTTGCAGTCGCACAATGTACAGTACATGCACATGTAGTCCAGCGTCCTTCAGTGTGGCTCCCTATTAAGATAAGTTTATGATGCATTCGAAAGTGGGAGATTCGCTACTATCATAGCCAGCCCAAGCAAGATACAGCCCCAAGTAGTGCACCGTTTGTCCTTGCGCCTTGTTAATCGTCATCGCAAAGGCCGGTTGGACAGGAAACTGCTTGCGTCTCAAATGAAACGGAAAGCTCCGAATGTCTCCGTCACTGATGAAAACAATGCGGGGAATCAACACATGTTGCCCTTGTCGCTCACCGGTCATGATTGTGGCGTGGATGACATGTGGCTTGAGGGCCACAATTCGAAGCCGTGTTCCGTTGCACAGCCCTAGATCAGGATTCAGGTTCCGCATCATCATGATAGGCATTCCTACCTTGAGGGTCAATTTGTGGGGAGGCATTCCACTGATATTCATCGAGTGGAGTACCTCCTGCTCGAAGAAATTGCCGTCACCATCGTCTTGTACAGAATCGGAAGACATGTATTCCCGCGCCTGTCCAGTTAATCGATCGGTCACCGCTTCATTGATGCGGTGCACGATTGCGTTCGTGGTCGTGAGGATCGTACGGTTAGCGAAATACTCATCGGTAGCAACTTCGGGGTTGTTAATCTCGCCATACATCTCGTCGATGATCCGATCCATGCCTCTTGGAATAACACCAGGACGAATTTCCTGGTCCTCATCCTCAGGCACAGGTGGATTCTCAATCAGCATATCGCGCGGGATCTTCATGTAATCGTTTCCTAGGGAAGGAGTTACATCATGCCTTCCCTCCCCGACTTGCAGCAGGAACTCGGAGAATGCAGCCATTTCCTCAGCAGTGTCTGCAGTATCAGCTGTGCGCACTCGCATGTTTTCCGTAAGACGGAACGTCTGGGAATTGGGGGCCACAGCCTAGACGACTTGAGGCAAGCGTCAATTGTCTCGACGGGT